TTGGGAGTCAGAGACAGGCGGATCTCTGTGAGTTCAAGGCCAGCCTGGTCTACAGAGTGAGTTCCAGGACCCTGTCTCAAAAAGACCAAAAAAAAAAGGAGGGAAGGAGGGAGGGAGGGACCTGATAACAACGGAATGGTGATCACGGCTACTTTGGAGGCTGAGGCAGGAGAATTCCAAGTCCAAGGCCAGTCTAGGCTACATAGCAAGTTCCAGGTTAGCCTGTGCAACTAGCTCACTTGTCTAAAAGTAAGATAGGGCGAGTGATAGATCTATCTGTATATGTCAGTGGCAGAGCAAGATCTTGGGTTCAGTCCCCAGTACGAAGAAAGCAACAAGAAGGGGAGTGATTGGCAGGCGTACCCTTCGTTCCCCTTTCCTATAAAGCCCTGCTTTTCTTCATTTCTCTTCTAGTAAGTTTTCATCTTGGAGATTTTCTTCGCTGACGAATGTCTTCTGTATTTTACTTACCAAAATCAGTCTGAATTTTTCTTTTGGCTTTCTTACTTGCTTTTGTGGGTTTTCAAAGATGAAAAATGCTAGTGAATCATTACAGTTTCCTTCACACACACTGTGGAAATGCCCTCTGCTTGTATTTCAAGGGCATGCTTGCGGTCTCTCTCATTCAGGTATCCATGGGAAAATTAGAGTAACATGACTTAATTTGTGTCTTTGTGTCTCTGTTTTATGATTGGGCATAGCAGAAAAAATTAGGTATGCTGAGTGGAGCAAAGAAAGAAAAGGGAAAAAATAGATAATTGTGAGAAGACAAAGAGGTTACACTTGATCAAAATTGAACTTGGGGGAAATGTGCTCTCCAGCTGTTTTCCATCCCCATTAAAGATGTCTGTCTAGTTCTGTTTTCGTGCCTCTAGAAGTGTAATTTTAAAGTGAAAATCCTTTCTCTCTTAGATTCAGAATATCAAGCAGACGAACAGTGCTCTTAAAGAAAAGCTTGATGGTGGAATAGAACCTTATCGGCTTCCAGAGGTAGGAGTGTGGGTATCTCAGCAGTTATGCCCACGGGTTTAGAAACGTAATGTCTGTGTGGTTCTGTGTGGTACATGCTTCCAGTGTGTGGTTCTGTGTGGTACATTCCTCCAGTCTGGTCTGTGTGGTTCTGTGTGGTACATGCTTCCAGTGTGTGGTTCTGTGTGGTACATGCCTCCAGTCTGGTCTGTGTGGTTCTGTGTGGTACATGCTTCCAGTGTGTGGTTCTGTGTGGTACATGCCTCCAGTCTGGTCTGTGTGGTTCTGTGTGGTACATGCTTCCAGTGTGTGGTTCTGTGTGGTACATGCCTCCAGTCTGGTCTGTGTGGTTCTATGTGGTACATTCCTCCAGTCTGGTCTGTGTGGTTCTGTGTGGTACATGCTTCCAGTGTGTGGTTCTGTGTGGTACATGCCTCCAGTCTGGTCTGTGTGGTTCTGTGTGGTACATGCTTCCAGTGTGTGGTTCTGTGTGGTACATGCCTCCAGTCTGGTCTGTGTGGTTCTGTGTGGTACATGCTTCCAGTGTGTGGTTCTGTGTGGTACATGCCTCCAGTCTGGTCTGTGTGGTTCTGTGTGGTACATGCTTCCAGTGTGTGGTTCTGTGTGGTACATGCCTCCAGTCTGGTCTGTGTGGTTCTGTGTGGTACATGCTTCCAGTGTGTGGTTCTGTGTGGTACATGCCTCCAGTCTGGTCTGTGTGGTTCTGTGTGGTACATGCTTCCAGTGTGTGGTTCTGTGTGGTACATGCCTCCAGTCTGGTCTGTGTGGTTCTGTGTGGTACATGCTTCCAGTGTGTGGTTCTGTGTGGTACATGCCTCCAGTCTGGTCTGTGTGGTTCTATGTGGTACATTCCTCCAGTCTGGTCTGTGTGGTTCTGTGTGGTACATGCTTCCAGTGTGTGGTTCTGTGTGGTACATGCCTCCAGTCTGGTCTGTGTGGTTCTGTGTGGTACATGCTTCCAGTGTGTGGTTCTGTGTGGTACATGCCTCCAGTCTGGTCTGTGTGGTTCTGTGTGGTACATGCTTCCAGTGTGTGGTTCTGTGTGATACATGCCTCCAGTCTGGTCTGTGTGGTTCTGTGTGGTACATTCCTCCAGTCTGGTCTGAGTGGTTCTGTGTGGTACATGCCTCCACTCTGGTCTGTGTGGTTCTGTGTGGTACATTCCTCCAGTCTGGGCTGTGTGTTCTATGTGGTATATGCCTTCAGTCTGGTCTGTGAAGTTCTATGTGATACATGCCTCCAGTCTGGTTTGTGTGGTTCTGTGTGGTACATGCCTCCAGTATGCCTTTGTCTTAGAAGGTATAGACATAGTATGAGCCTGGTTTACATTAAAATTTTGACCTGAGAAAAAAGTTCTTGAAGCTGTCATAAAGGTGCATGTAATAAATTGGCAATCCATTTGGGTGTCTAGGTCGTTCAGAAGTGCAACGCACGTTGGACCACAGAAGAGCAGCTCCTCGCCGTGCAAGGTATGGGGACTCTCTTCAGAGAGCATACGGAAACCACAACCAGTTTTTGGAAAATGTTACGTTCCATTCTAAATCACTTTACTCATGTGGAAGATCACCTTACTCTAGCCACATCCCTGGGCGCGTGCATATGTGTATATCTACATGTTATTGGGGATTGAACCTAGGGTCATGCTAGGCAAGTGCTTGTACCACTGAGCAGCCATTGCTGTGCACCACACGCTCCCCCCCCCCGCCCTGCCCCTTTTGAGACAAGGTCTCACCTGTTGCCCAAACTGGCTTTGTCCTGCCTCAAATTCCCAAGTGCTGAGATTATAGTCCTGTGCCATCGTGCCCCAGCCCTTTTCCATTTCTTAAATTAACCTGGAAGCCACAGGAAGGCTGTGGGCATTGTACAATTGCTTATTGCACTCTCCTCAAAAGATAGAATGAGTGTTAGCATTTTTAAGACAGGTGTTCTCACCTGAGGATTCTGGAAACACAAAGGCAGGATGACCCACAGCTATGGGGTAGTTATTGTGGAACCTCAGCAAATTATGTTATGTGACATCAGACTTCTAAGAAGTTGATAGTCTTACTAAACTTTTTATACCATCATCTATAGGATGTCTGAAATTGACTCCTGTGCCTCTCCACAGCTGTAACGCACCAAGATAGGATCTACTATTAAAAACCTTTATGTTTTGTTACTAAGAAAATGGGGTGAGCCTTAGTTGGGGCTGGGGACTTTTGGGCAGGGCCAGGGGGGCATCACCTGCATGTGGAAATCAGAGGGCAATTTCAAGAATGAGTTCTTTCCTTATACCATGTGTTCCAGGGACTAAACTCAGGTTATCTGACCTGTGTGACAAGTGCTTCTACCACAGCACCATCTTGCCAACCTGAGTTGTGGTTTTTAAAATTGCTTTTCTCTTATTCTGAAAGTAATTTTATTTTCTATCCTTAGCAATCAGGAAATATGGACGAGATTTTCAAGCAATCTCAGATGTGATTGGGAACAAGTCAGTGGTACAGGTGAAAAACTTTTTTGTAAATTACCGACGCCGCTTCAACATAGATGAAGTTTTACAAGAATGGGAGGCAGAGCATGGGAGAGAGGAGACCAACGGGCCCAGCAGCCAGAAACCCGTCACATCCCCAGACAGTTCTGTCAAGATCCCTGAGGAGGAAGATGAGGTAAACCTGCTCTCCTCCCTGCAGAGCCCGTGCTCAAGGCTCTTCAGCTGGTGAACATCTTCCAGCTTCACTCGTGTCAGCAGTCCTTACCTGTAAATACCATGATGGTGTGTGACGCCAGGCTCATCACTGTGTACACACTGATTCCATCCTGGCTTCCTCCAACACAGGATGCTCCACATGAGTAGAAGCTACCAGAACAGCTAGTTGGAAGTGCTCTGAGGTGTGTCCTGCAGCCCAGTCAGGTTTCATGTGGGGTGCCATTGTTAGGGAGTTGCTGACCTTGTGGATGAGTCTGACCTGTAGGAGCCTGTTGCATGTGTCCCGCTGCCATCTTCCAGCTATTAGTGCCATTCGGGGCTGGCTGACTTTAGCTGATGCAGGCCGTTATAGGTCCTGTGGCTGACATTATAATCTTAGAGATGGTGGCACTGATTTCATCAGCCAGTCAAGTAGGATAAGGAAGTAGAGCGACAGGCTAGAGACGGCGTCTGATCCCTTCTGCTTTCTGCATCAGGATTGCTTGTCTGTTGTCCCCACCCCAGCGGGGAGCTGACCTTCCGCAGTACAGTTCTGCACCACACCTATAGAAGATGCTCTTGGGGCAGGGTCCAGGCCTCACCTCACATCTGAATTTGTTCACTGCTCCATGAGACGAGAATTGAATTAGCTTTAAGGAAAGTCATTTTCTGTCTTTCTCAACCCTTACAGGAATGATTTGGAGTTACCTGGTTTGCATTGTGTTTATTTCTTTTTCTCTCTAGGGCCCAGGCCCTAGACTATGCTAGAGAATTCCCTTGAGGAAAGTGAGGTCACCAGTCTATCCAGTCTCCAGGCACTGCCACTTAGTATCTTAGAATTAGCTGTTTTCAGTGTGTGTGTGTGTGTGTGTGTGTGTGTGTGTGTGTGAGAGAGAGAGAGAGAGAGAGAGAGAGAGAGAGAGAGTTTTCTGTTTTAAGGCAGGGCATGGTGGTGCACACCTTTAATCCCAGCAGATGCAGGTGGATCTGAGTTTGAGATCAGCCTGGTCTACAGAGGGAGCTCCAGTCCCTCCAAGGGTTACTTGATGAGACCCTGTCGGGGGTTGGGGAGGGGAATCTTTATTGTGTGTACAAAATCTGCTCACTGCCAATGAGAGTGGTCCTACCTACAGCCCAGCCTGGTGCCCTGCAACATAATAGCATCTAATGCGCCTTACCTTTTAATAGTAACTTTTGTTCCATTGTTAATTCTAGATGAAATTAACTTCACTGAAGTCCAGGGCTGAATGTAGGCGCTCTGAAGAAGTTCGAGGCAAGGATTAAAGGGAAAGGGTTTGCAAGAATGAAAGCATTCTTCTCTGTGTTCTGACAGCAGTCCTAAGGCTATTGGAAACAAGCAGCAGGACGCTGGCCTTGACATTGAGTCAGAGCAGGTGCTGACGGCAGCCCAGAGCCGCTTCTCCAGCATGTGGTTTTCCTTCAGTCTCCTAAGCCTGGACTGTTGCTCCCTGACTGAGCTTTATCAGTGCTATTTGCTTTTCTCTGTTATTAGTCAAGGAGGCTCTGCCTTTAACTGTCCATTTCTTGTGCTGATTATACATCAGATAGCCCTAGCATGTCTTTTTACAGTATGGTCATCACCCTAAAGAGGGTCGAAGTTTCTCTTTGCTGTTTGATTTTCCATGGGTCTGTTTACCCTGCTTTTTCTTTTTTATTTATTATTTATTTATTTTTTTTTGTCTTTTTGAGACAGGGTCTCCATGTAGCCCCAGCTGACCTGAACTCACTATGTAGACCAGGCTGGCCTTGAACTCACAGAGATCCGCCTGCCCCTGCCTCCTGAGTGCTGGGACTAAAGGCATGCGCCACCATGCCTGGCTTTAATATTTTTTTAAATATTAAATATTATACTAAATATAACTGGAGTTATAGACAGCTGTTAGGTACCATGTGGGTGCTGGGATTCGAACCCGGATCTTCTGCAAGAACAGTCAGTGTTCTTAACCTCTGAGCCATCTCTCCAACCCCCTGTTTTTTTGTTTTGTTTTAGTTTTTGGGGTTTTTTTGGTCTTTTTGAGACAGGGTCTCCCTATAGCCCCAGCTGTCCTGGAACTAGCTTTGGAGACCAGGCTGGCCTCCAACTCACAGAGATCCGCCTGCCCTGCCTCCCGAGTGCTAGAATTAAAGGTGTGCGCCATCACGCCTGGCTACCAGCCCCCTTTTTAAATATTTTTTTAAAATAATTTATTTTATGTGTATGCGTGTATTGCCTGCATGTAGGTAAGTGCACCCAAGTCGTGCAATGCCCATGGAGAACAGAAGAGACTGTCGGATCCCCTGGAACTGGAGTTAAGTATGGACAGTTGTTAGGTGCCGTGTTGGTTCTGGGATTCAAACCTGGGTCTTCTGCAGGAACAGTGTTCTTAACTGCTGCACTCTCTCTCCAGCCCCACCCCGCCTTTTCTTTTAAAATAAAACAACAGAAAACAAACAAAAAAGAAAAAAAAAGCAACAAAACGGAAGGCCGTCACCTGCGTGGCCTTGACAGCCTCTGGCCACTTAAACTATATCCCTTCCCCCCGAGGCTTGCACTTTACGGGTTTGGGGTTTTTTTCTTCCCTCTTTTTGAGACCGGCTCCCTGTAGCCCCAAGCTGGTCTGGAACTCGCTCTATAACCAGGCTGGCCCTGATCTTACAGAGATCCTGCCTGCCTCTTCCTTCCCAGTGCTGGGATCAAAGGCATGTGCCACCATACCCAGCTCACTTTTTATGTTTTTGATGTTTTTTTCAGACAAGGTCTTGGTTGGTATGTGTAACCCAGGCTGGCCTGCTCTGAACCCTCCTACTTCTGCCTCCTGAATACTGCGGTTTTTGGTATATGCTACCATCCCTGTCTCCTTTTTTTGGTCTTTTTGAGACAGGGTCTCCCTGTAGCCTCAGCTGTCTGGAACTCACTATGTAGCCCAGGCTGGCCTTGAATTTACAGAGATACGCCTGCCTCTGCCTCCCAGTGCTGGGATTAAAGGCGTGTGCCACCACACGCATCCTGGCTCCTATTTAAAACATTTGTTTTGTGTATACACAGGTGTCATGGTTTATGTGGAAGTCAGAGGACAACTTTCAGAAGTTGGTTCTCCTCTTCCACCATGTGGGTTCCAGGATCAAACTAAGGTCAGCAGGCTTAGCAGCAGATGGCGTTGTTAGCTGCTGAGCATTTCGCTGACCCTCCCTTTTCTTCTGTGTTTCCTGTGTCACCACACATCCCTGCTAGCCCTTCAGTTGTCTGTTGTCTTCATATTAGTTTGCAAAAGTCTATTTGCTTATAATAATCTCTGTCAAACAAGGGCTTGAACTGCTGGAATGCTGGTTAGTTGCTTGGTCAGTGCTCAAAACTTGGAGATTTGGTAATGTCACAGGCGTGTTTATACTGAGACTAGAGGCTAAGAACACCGTCTCCTGGTATCCTGCCTTCCTCTCCATCCTTGCATTTTACATCTTAAGCAGAGCACACAAGATGAAAGATAGCTGAATTTTCACAAGTTCTGCTAATGTAGCAATCTGTCAGTTTTACAGCCTTTTTTTTTTTCCAGCTAAGAAGGGAGTCTGACAAGTTTGAGACATTGGAATTACTTGGGTTGAAGGTCCATATTTTTATTTAAAATTAGAGAACTATTGAGTGTAGAGACAATGTGGAAAACCTTCTGATTTGATTGATAGTAGCTTTAAAAGCTGCCATTTTACCTGAAGGAATAGCATGCTCAGATTTCTTCCTCAGTGGGTACAATGAGGGTTGTAGGATATGGTTAAGACACTGTCCTTTGTTAAGAGTCAGTTTTGAAAAGCAAGAGGCAACTGAAAAAATGCCTTTATCCTGTAAGGAGGATCCTTACACACTCCTGTGTCCAACAGAAGCCACTGGCTGGCTGTTTGCTGAAGGGCCAGGTGTCACAGCCTCCCTATGCCAGTGCATGTCATCATTACTATATAGGTAATTTGATTGATAATGAAGAAGGCACCATTAATGCAACTTCTGTGGATATGGAAACTAAAGTTCAAATAGGAAAAGCCCCTCGAGGTCACACAGACACTCTCCCTGCCCTTGGAGCACACACCGTTGTCACTGTTCTTACTTTGTAGGTTTGCTGCGTGTGGAGCTCCTTTCCCTCCTGGAGCACAGCAGGGAGAATGTGCTGTTTGACTGCTCTTTGACCCTTTCTTTTCCCTTTCCTCCAGGCTGCTTCCGTCCTCGACGTAAGATATGCATCTGCCTCATGAGAACTGCTGGCAGCTTTGAACACTTGGTATGACTACATGTTATCCAGGATATCAGGTATTACACGACATCACCTAGCCATCTGCATCACATCTCTGTGGACAAGCAGCTATTACCAAAAAAAGGCATACACTTCCAGTCCTGTGCTACATCTGCCTTAATTCTTTGCTCGTTCCTCCATGTTGGCACGACTTCCCAGAGAGCTCCATTGCATCTCATTCTGCCTAAGGGCTGGGGAACCCACAGCCTGCACACCTCCCTCAAGTCTGGGGCCTGCACACTTCCTTCGAGTCTGGGACTCTCCCTCCAGTTGGCTCCCTGAGCCCCGTCAGTGGCAGCTCTCCCACTCAGCAGCTTCAGAACAGGTAGTCTTGAAAGGCCCAGCTCTGTCCTGCATGGCCTGAAGTTTCTATTTTGTGCATAGCATAAGTGTCAAGGCCCCAATGGCCTTCAAGAAAATTTCTCTTGTTCTTTCTGGGGCAGCCACCTAAGGACATCATGCTTCTTTGGAAATCAGTGCATTGGCAGACGAACAGGTATAACCTGCCTGTATCCTGCCAAGTTTCCAGATACAACTGTTTCCCTAAACAGGGTAGAGTTATGGTTTATAAGTTAGGTGGTTCCTCTCCCCTTCTCTCTGCTAATTCTCTCCCTTTTCTCCCTTTCTAAGTGGTAAAAGCTCATTTGCAGCAACTGTCTTTGGACACGGTAGCTTAATGGGAACGTGGACCTCAGCGCTTTCTGCCTTCAACTTCCAGCATTATAGTCCCAGGGTGTGGGTTCACCCCACCTTTCCCTGATCCCCCAGCTACCACTATCACCACCCAACTCCGAGAGATTTGGTTCATATCACTGTACCTGGTGCTTGTACCTTTGGAATTGGTGCCTTCTCCTTTGGCAACCACGTTATTGATTCCTTTTCTGTTCAAGTGTCTTATTTCAAGTTTATTGCTTGCCAAAGATGACATCATTGAGGTGTAGGAGATGAGGGAGCTTCTGCAGATTTGACAGAGTGCAGATTTTAAATGTCAGGTCAGCTCAGTAAAGGATCTGAGGATGGCTAGGATGGTTTTGTAGATGCTGTATTACCAGTAGGTCCCTTCATGGTGTGCCTGGCCTATTGTATGTCACTCCGTGTGTCCTTTTGTGTCATTCATGTACCAGTGTGGTCACACACACACGTATACCATCCCCTCTCTTTTAATAGCAGAGTACAGGACAAAAAAGTGATGGATGTATTGGTCAGTGAGACCGAGATGAAAAGAAATAATCTACAGAGTGATACGTAATGCCTGTTGGCTGGACTGGGAACAAGTAAAGTTTTCTAATAAATGTTCTGAGACTTCCAGAGTCACTTTTGCTCTCCTGACAGACTGTGGGCCTGCTGGGGTAGGAAGCAGATGGTCAACCTGTGTTCTAGCACCTGTGGCCAGTTCAGACTGTACTAACCATGCACAAATTATCTTTTGTTCTCAGCATTTGAATTTTTTTTTTCTGCTTTCAATACCAAAAAAGAAAAAAAAGTAGATGCTTTAAGGTATAAACAGAATTTTAAGAATTTAAAATATGCAATTGAAATTTGATGTATTTTGATTCCCAAGCACCTTTTTTTTTAAAAAAAAAAAAAAAAAATCAACTGATTTTTCTCTTTAGAAAGAGGTTCAGCTCTAGAAACCTAAGTTTTCTGGGTTGTGCATTTTTTTCTGAGAGGTCTGGAGAAAGGCCGTTCCTGGGGGGAGTGCAGGGGGCTTTCTTCGTCCTGTCCCGTGCGTATGGTGTCTGTTGGTCAAGGAGAGTCTGTAGAAAGCAGCACCAGGGGCACAGCCCACACCGCCCTGCCTGGGGACAGAGCGGAGTAACACTAGTAACCAGTCAAATTTCCCTGTTCTTATCAAACCTGCTGTGGAAGGAAGGGTGGAAGGAAAACATGGGATGGCTCAGCCTAGGTTTTGCCCGTCGCTTGCTCACAGGGACACTAAGGCACTTGCTAAAGCCGCTGCCTGACTTGTTCTTTATCCCTGTTCTCCCTCTGGAGCAGGAGCAGGCTGTCTTGCTCTGTCAATGGCTCTCTCTGCCCAGGCTATTTTCCTTAGAATCTATTCCCTTTTGGCAATGCCTAGACTTTATGCTCATCCTGGGTGGTGAGGCAGGCAGAGCAGCTGTGCCAGGCACCACACTGGGCTCTGCATGCCGCTTACTTGGCTCCTGGAGTCATGTGCTGGTATGACTAGAACCATGGTAGCTGAGTTCTGGCTTTTTCTCCAAAGGAAAGAGACATGCCATTTTCATTTGATAGAGGGGGAAAAGTGGTCTTTCCCGGCTCCTGTTGCAATAGTCTCATGTTTTAAACTTTATTTTTTCATTACATAGTCTTTGCAGTGATGTAAATGCAAGAAATCGCTTAGCTTTCAAAGCTGAGCACTCTGGTCTTGTATATGCAAAGACTGTTGACTATGTCAAAACTTAGGTGCGTCAGCAGGTCGGGTTTGGGGCACAATGCCTGCTTCTGATGGCGTGTCACTTAAGCTTTGTGTTCTTAGAAATTATCAATGTGAATGTCATAACTATATATTTTTTGTTGGAAAAATCTCCTAAATATAAGTTATTGTGCAAAATATAGTATCATGGACACAAATAATAGTCTAACTTCTAGTTTAGAGATCCCTAAAAGATATAAATTGTATTGCAAATGCATTAAAGTCTGTTTATTTAATTTTATGTAGATGTGTAAAGTGTTAGGTTAAAAATTCTTTTCACTTAATCCATTTAAACACCTTGTTACTTGAATATTGTGTTGACTGGTCAGCAGCAGTGATAATTCTGTGATATAGCTCTTTAACCGGGGAGTCTCCATGCCTGTTGTGCTGATTAGCTTAGGGTGGCACACAGACAGGTGCTCTGTCAGCAGGAGCCAGAGGCTAGTGTAACACACCACTGCACTGTCTCACTTCTTTGTCAGGACAGCTCCCTGAAGGATGGTTTCTGGTAGTTTTTATAAGACGCTATAATGGTCACAAACCTCTAATCAAAAAACAAAAGGCGAAAAAGCTTACTGTGGTGGGCCAATTGAGCAGTTTTCTGTTTAGAGACAATTTCCTCAGTGCTACACACCACTCTGAGTGTGCTTGTTGTCACTTTAAATTCCAGCTATACCCTGCTTTTTTCACTATCAGATGTACTATTGGTATGATTGCACACCAAAAATAAGCCAGGCGGTACGCTGCACTAACTGGGTCCTGCCCTCGTGTGAGAGAGCAGAGGCGGAGCCAACTCCAGCAAGCTGGCCTTTCTCTCGCATCTGGCCTGTTTCTACATGCAGTGACCCAGGATTCAGGGTTTAGTATCAAGTAGCCCAGATTGACTCAAGGTAGTTAGATCATCTGAACCTAGTGATCTTGTGCAGTGCCCTTTCCGCCACTCCCTGGATCTTTGCAGCTTTTCCTGTGTAGTAAAGCACAATTGCAGGAACGTTACAGTTCAGAAGGAAGGTCAGTAGAGTCTATGCATGTTGTAAAATAATGAGTGTTTACAGCACCTTCTCCTAAAACAAAAGTTTATACTGGAGTGCATAGTATCCCATTATGTAGACTTAAAATTTGCTAAGTGCTTTTTAGATTGCTTAAATTTTTTCAAGATTTTAAAAGATGTATAAGGTTAAGTTTGCAAATATAATGGAAATGCTGTATATCTTTTGAAGTGATAAAATCCAAGTTGAGATTTTAAAGAAACTATGTTGTAATAATGCTGTTGTAAGTACTATTTTCATGTCTGCTTGTTTTCTATTTCAGCACACTCATTGTGGTGAATGTCCATAGCATTATAATTGCTTAGCCATTGAATTATAACATTTGTTAGTGAAAAATGGAAATTTTATTTGTGAAATTCTGCAGAATTCATTTTTCTATTTCCAATATTTGCTGGTTAAATAAAAATTTTCAAGCCATTGATGTAATAAAATGTTAAAACAATTTTCTGCACTCCCATGTCCATGTCAAACAAAGTGGGTACTTTCTCCCCTTCTGAGCAGGCCCTGGGTTTCTGGTGCTGAGGCCCAGCATCACACCTGGCCCTGGGGTCCACACAGCTGGGTCCTTCGTGTGTCCTTATCCTGCAGCTGGCATCACATCAAGGTACGTAAGTCCATAAGGCTTGTGAGAGTTGAGGGTTAGATGTAAAGGTTGGATACAGCAGTTTTTTGTTTGTCAGCTTGACTGGACTCTGACCTGAACCTGGAGGTTGGTTCTGCATCCTGACACTGGTCTGTGGATGTGAAGTGGCAGGTTGGTCAGCTGCTGGTCAGCTGAGTGACCAACATTTGGCTCAGCACCTCTTGAGCAGTGTGAAGAACTCGGCAGTCTCTGCGGTCTTCGCATTTCTAGCTGGATTTGGTCAGATAATGTGTCGGTGAGCTTTTACTACAGTAACCAATGTGTAAGATACATTCACCTGACACGGGAAGATTTATTGGCCCCCAATTTTGAACGTTTTAGCCATGACCACTTGGCCCTCCTTGAGTTGAGACACACACATCCCTCCTAATTTGACATGTGGTAGCACATCATGGCCAGAGCATGTAGCAGAGCAGAGTCATTCACGTCATGGCCAAGACAGAGCCAAAAAAGAACAAAAGGCTGGCGTCCTGTAATCCCAGTAAGCTCCCATCCCCAGTGACCTGAAGACTTTCGCTAGGCCTCTCTTTTTTTTTTTTTTTAATTTTATTTTTTATTATTTTTTTTTATGTGTATGCATGTATTGCCTGCATGTGTGTGAGTGCACCCGTGTCGTGCAATGCCTTGGAGGCCAGAAGAAGGCTTTGGATTCCCCTGGAACTGGAGTTAAGGACGGTTCGTAGCCGCCATGTGGGTGCTGGAAATTGAACCCGGGTCTTCTGCAAGAGCAGTCAGTGTTCTTAACCACTGAGCCATCTCTCCTGCCCCTAGGCCTCTCATTTTAAAGACTCCTTCACTTCCCAAGTGCCAAGTCAAGGGCTAAGGCTTTGATAAGTGAGTCTTTGGGAAGCACTTGAGGTCCACATTGCAGCAATCTGAGCACCAAAACCAGCCTTGTTTCAAATAGAATTTGCAGTAGGTGGATGAGGTCAGATCCCTGTGTGTGACTCTGCCTCATGGAAGAGGTTGTAGAAGACTTGTGGGCCCGGCCTTCTGAGAATTGATGGTCCAGAACAGTGAGAGGGGAAAACCTGCACTCCTTGGGTGAGCACGGGGCCGGGGGGCGGACGTGAGCAGATTGGTGCCTGCAGAGCAGAGGCGGCTCTGAGAAGACGCCATCTGCGTGGGTGGATGTGAGCGCGGCACCCCTGAAAGTTTGGAGACCGGGGCTCTGAGCTCAGTGTCAGCCTGCTGGATATGGCCAGTGGGTAAAACAAGAGGAGGCAGGTGTGACAGGTGGGACCTGTGTCTCCTCTAGGAGACAGAAAGGAGGAGGCCGGAGGTGGAGGAAGAGGGTCAGAGCTGAGACGGCCCCTCCAGGGTTACTACCATGTGTTGGGACAGGCACACAGAAGGGGTCATTTGAACTTAGTCTTTACTAACTCACAGACCAACTTGAGAAGACTGAAAGTGTTGGGAATGACCCTTTCGTAGGCTGGCATGAAGTGTAGCTAGGCCTAAAGTAGCAGGGAAAGGAGACTGGTCATGGATCCCCAAATCAAAGACATGAGAAGAGGTGGAGACCCCGATGCAGGCCCACTCCCTGCAGTCTAAGCACCGAGAACAGCTGTACAGCATGCAGGTTCCACCTCCTGCTCCTTCCTTAGACGAGCTTCGCCCTTGGCTCTGGCCCTGACTTCAGGGAGGCCACAAAGGGTTCTCCAGGGCTCAGAGACTGCTGGGAAGTAGGAGTTGAATCTTCAGGGCTGAGGTGAGAGCCATGCTTTCTTTAGAAAGGACTGGGGGTTCCACGGGTGCTGGCACCCAGTCCCAATCTCTGGGTCTCCGTACTGAACTCCCGTGGTGCCCAGCACCTCGGGCAGTACTGGCTTTGGAGAGAGGGCTAGCCAACCGTTCCCGGTGGTCGCAGTGCTCCCGGGTAGTCAGCCCACCTGCTGCACTCCGAATCAACCACTTCATACTTGGGTTATCAAGACTCACTTATGGGGGTCCCGACTCATTCTCTGGTCCTGGGCTGTGGACCCTTTCCTCTCGTCCCAGAAACCGGAACAGCTGCAGGCCTTGAGCAGCCCCTGGTCTCTCTTAGCACTTACCGCTCTCGATCCCTGGGAGGTTGTTAGCAGCTGTAGATCAAGCCACTCGTACGGAAGAATTCGCTCAGCTCCTGGTGGACCCCTTGCCCCACCTCTTTTCTTTGGTGCGTGGCACTCTGTGTGCCTGGTCACCAAACTGGAAACAGGCGCGTCACCTGCCTCTTGAGTTCCTCCGCCACTGCTGCTGGTACCAGGTGAGGCTTCTGGTTGTTGAAGCTAGCGCTTTGGCCAAACTTACCTACATCTGATGCTCAACCTGGTCCTCCCTGCCCCTCCCACCACAGCCAGGAACCTTTCACCCTGATTCATTTGTGTCGTAGAAAAGCTGCTGGGCACCACGGGAGCTCAGTATGGGGACCTAGAGCATGGGGACTGGGCGCTGGCACCCGTGGAACCCCCAGCCCTTCATTCTACTGAAGCCATATGACTTCCTGCCCCAGATAATTCTCACATGCTTTTCTCCACAGTACCACTCCCCTTCACATGGCACTGCCCCTCCACAGTGTGCAGCGTGCAACATTCCCACACTCCAGGCCCTTAAACCTTATTCTACCCTGCCTCATTCTGCTACCTATAAAGAAGTGGCTTTTACCTAACACTGAGGTCAAGGCCAGCCCAGGCTACATAGCAAGACCCTGTCTCAGAAAAACTAAGGACTAAATGGGATGTAGCTCAATAACAGGGCAGTTATATGCAAGGCCTGGATTCCATTCCCAGCATCAACACACATAATTTAATTTTTTATTTTTTAAATAAGTAGCTAGGACTGGAGAGATGACTCAGCAGCTAAGAGCACTTGACTGTTCTTACAGAGGACCTAACTTCCATTCCCAACACCTACATGGCAGTTAACAAACATAACTCCAGTTCCAGGGGATCTGGCACCTTTGGGCCTCTGGGGGCGTTACACAGCATGGGTGCACTTACACTCATGCAGGCAAAACATAAAATAAAAATCAGGGACTGGGGAGATGACTCAGCAGTTAAGAGCATTGGCTGCTCTTGCAGAAGACATGGGTTAGGTTCCCAGCACCCACATGGCCGGGTAACAACTGTCTGTAACTTGAGTTCCAGGGGATCTGACACTCTCTTCTGACCTCCACGGTCATTACATGACACAGATGTACTACATACATGCAGGCAAAACACTCATAAAATAAAATTAGTAAATGTATTTATTAAATAAAAGGTGGCTAGGTAGCCATTGTACTGGCATGGAGGCAAATCGAAGCTCACACAGCTCTCTACTGGCCCAGCTCTGCAGGGCACCCAGCGCCCGGCTCTGCCCAACTACTCACAACCTTCAATTGCTGAGCAGCAGGACCCTTTGCTGGTGTGCTTTGATGTGTTCCTAGTGATTCTGTGCTGACACCCAGCGTTGTACCATGGCAGATGCCTGGTGAAAAGACCAGGAGACCGCATCCTCCTCCAAAGGCTTCCTGTAGCCGGCCATCCCTATAGGTTTGGTTGAGGATCAGGTGAGCTGGCGTAGGCCAGGCTCTCCCACGTGCAGTTCCCTCTTTGGTCTGCTTTCAGAGTCCCCTTCCCTTGAATCTGAGCAGACATGACCATTTCTCTTCTTATTAACCAGCTGGTGTCAACACCCTGGCCTTTGCCCGCCAATGTTCAGTCCCAAGGAGGTGCAATCCAACCTCCTGGTCCTCTAGAGACTTTGTATAAGAAGTGTTTGACTGTAGTGTCCCCCAGCACTTATTTGAATAAATTTAGTAATGAGCATATCTTACACTGTAGATAATTTTATATAGCAAATTATTTGTTTTAGTAATAATTGCTTAATTTATCCACAATTAGCTTGCCACCTAAGGACCAAACAAACATTATTTCTCATGGAAACTGAGTTAGCTTTGCATTACTACCATATCCCAGGCCGCTAAGCAGTGAAGACACATCTGTTTTGTCTCCTGTGAAGTTCTGGCCCCCCAAGTTCGGTGGTCCCATTAATTTGGGTCTGTGAGGGCAACACGTGATAGGAGCAGGTGTCCGAGGTAACGGTCACTTCATGAGCCAGGAAGAGTGAGACAGGGTCCCCCAATCTCCTTGAGCGCAGACAGTGACCTAGGTACTCCCTCCAGCCCCAGCACCTCCCAATGCCACCATCCTAGAAGCCATGCCTTTGCCTGCGGACTTCTGGGGGACACACGTGCAAACCCTTGGGCATCTTGGGAGTGAGGACTATTGTCACTATCTCGAAGAGGAACCAAGACACAGAAGAAGCAAGTTGTGCCATGTCAAACTGCTAACAAACACCAGCCTCAGGAAATGGAGCACCCTACTTCACTGCCAAGCTCTGTTCAGACTCCACAGGGTACCAACCCACACCTTCACAGTGTCTTGCAGTCTTTTGTGATCTTGGTCACCACCTCAATTATTCCAGGCCCATTTCCTCATCTGTAAAGAGAAATAGTGACCATTTTAAAGGACAAGGTCACACCCATTTGCCCCATGGGACAGGGGCTCAGTGCATGGCTGACCTGCTGATTGCATAGACTGGTCTTGTTGCAGGACCCCTGTGGAGAGAGCAGGTTTCCTCTGCTCAGTGACCTTCCAACAAAACCCTCCCTTGAGTATTGACCGCCCACCTCCCACCTTCCCCTGAACCGGAGAGGTCCTTAAGGGCTCTTGTCTGTCATTCTCAGTGTGTGTACATTTAAACCTGCAGACACGGGTCTGGAGAGGTGACTTCTCAGTTAAGAGCGTTTAAAA